CGTGATTCGATCGATCGCGTGGTTCGATCGCGTGATTCGATCGATCGAGTGTTTCGATCGATCGATCGGTCGAGTGCGTCGATCGCGTGGTTCGATCGAGTGATTCGTCGATCGACAGCCTCATTTACTCGGGCGTCGATCGCGTGCGTCGATCGCGTGAGTCGATCGACCGAATGATTCGATCGAGCGGTTCGATCGATCGCGTGAGTCGATCGCGTGATTCGATCGATCGAGCGGTTCGATCGAGTGATTCGATCGATCGCGTGATTCGATCGATCGCGTGGTTCGATCGAGTGATTCGATCGATCGAATGGTTCGGTCGATCGCGTGCGTCGATCGAGTGAGTCGATCGAGTGAGCGGTCGGTCGATCGAGTGAGCGGTCGATCGCGTGATTCGGTCGATCGCGTGATTTAATCGAGTGAGTCGATCGATCGCGTGCGTCGATCGAGTGAGTCGATCGATCGAGCGGTCGATCGATCGAGTGCGTCGACGCGTCGAGGGAATCGTTCGATTGGAATGATTCGCGCGCGCCGACGGGTCGGTCGATGACGCTGGCGCGGGTGAAGGTGCGCGCGAACGGGGGGGCGCGCGCGCTCGTCCTCGCGTGCGCGGCGTTGCCCGCGTGCGCGCTCGCGGCGCGCGCGATCGAGGCGGAGCGCGCGCGGGCGCGGGCGATCGAGAGCTCGCCATGGGATGGGTCATCGAGCGACGACGACTCGCGACGGGCGCGGTGACGCTCGGCGCGAGCGCGCTCGCGTGGGCGTGGGCGATGGACGACGTCGTGGACGTGGGGGGGGGGGCGGGGCGCGCGGTGCGGGCGACGGTGGTCGTGGCGTCGATCGCGGCGGAGTACAAGGCGCGCGCGGGTTCGGCGCTCGAGGCGACGCACGCGCGAGGGGCGACGCGGTTGCGAGCGATGTGCGAAGCGAACGGTGGGTTGTACGTCAAGGCGGGACAGTTCGTCGGCGCGAGTGGGGGGGTGCCGGAGGCGTACGTGCGGGAGTTGAGTCGATTGCAAGACGACGCGGCGGCGGCGGGACGGGACGCGACGCGCGAGCTCGTTCGGGAGGAGTTCGGGACGTCGCCGGAGGAGCTGTTCGAGACGTTTGATGATGTGCCGATGGCGGCGGCGTCCTTGGCGCAGGTGCATCGAGCGGTTTTGAGGGGGTCGGGGAAGGAGGTGGCGGTGAAGATTCAGCGTCCGGGATTGGCGTCGCAAATAAAGTCCGACATAGCGACGATGCGCGCGCTGTTGCGTCTTACGAATTTCATCTTCCCGGAGTTTGACTTTGGATTCATGGTGAGCGAGTTCAAGTCTCGGCTGGAAAAGGAGATTGATTTCGAAGCCGAGGGGCGAAACTGCGAGCGGGCGAAGAAGGCGTTTGAGGACACGCCGACGGTGGACTCGCCGAGCGTTTTCTGGGACTTCACCACGAAGCGCGTGCTCACGATGGAGTTTATTCGAGGGGAGAAAGTGACGAATACCGAGGCCATGCGCGCCAAGGGGATCGATCTCGAAAAAGCGGCGTTGGCGCTGAGCGACTGTTTCGCGAGGATGCTCTTGTGCCACGGGTTCATGCACGGAGATCCGCATCCGGGGAACCTCCTCGTACGCTTGCATCCGGACGGAAGCGGTCGAACGCAGGTCGTCCTCCTCGATCACGGCTTATATTCCGAGCTCAACGAAGACACTCGACGGGCGATGTGCGAGTTATGGGAATCTATCGCCGTCGGCGACGCCGAACGCGCGTCGCGAGCCTCGGACGCGCTCCGAATACCGAGCGAGTTCTCGTGGCTCATGCCATTGACGTTGGCGAGAAAGACGCCGGACGGAAAACCCATCGATCGCGAGGCGTTGCTCAAGCTGTTCGGTGACCGCAGGCCCGGTCTCGGTGAGGCTTCGATCATCGGAAACAATCTCCCAAAGGAGATGATGATTGTTTTGCGAGCGAACGCTCTGGTTCGCAACCTCGTGAAAGCCCTCGGGGACTCTCGCGAGAAAGAGATGACGGCGCTTGAGATGAAGCGACAGTGGAGTAACGTGCGATACGCCTCGCTCGGGATCGTGCTACCCAAAGCGCTCGGTTCGTCGTCCGCCGCGCGCGCGTCGCCGCTCGTCAAGCTTCGATGGCGCCTTCGCGAGCTCAGGGTCTTTCTCCGCGCCTCCCGTCGCGCCGCCCGCGCGCTTCGCGCGCATAGAACTAGCACAATGGACGTACATAGCGGAAACGTAGTGAAATCGTAGTCACACCGAGTCTCGATCGCTCCTCTCTGACGCGCCGGCGCCGACTCCCCTCTGGCTCTCCGCTCGCGCGCGCGTCGAACCACACATCGCCGCCCGACGCTCGACGTCGCGGCCATGTCCTACGCCTACCTCCTCAAGTACATCATCATCGGTGACACCGGTGCGTCGCTCGCGTCGCCGTCTTCGCGTTCGTCGATGCACACGCGTCGTGAAGGCACGTTCGTTGACGCGCACTCCATCGACTGACGGAATTTCTTCAACGCGCGCTTCCAGGCGTCGGTAAATCGTGCCTGCTCCTGCAGTTCACCGATCAGCGGTTCCAACTCGTGCACGACCTCACGATCGGCGTCGAGTTCGGGTCGCGCATGGTGACCGCGGGAGGGAAACAGGTCAAGTTGCAGATCTGGGACACGGTGCGCGGCGACGAGACGTCGCGTCGCGAACGGGGAACGTTCGTCGATCGATCACGGACGCGACGTGGGATTCGAGCGTGGTGACTGAGTGTGTACGACGTACGCGTTGCATCGCTTCGTAGGCGGGACAGGAGAGCTTCAGGAGTATTACGAGGAGTTATTACCGAGGCGCGGCGGGCGCGCTCTTGGTGTACGACGTGACGCGCAGGGAGACGTTCGATAACCTCTCGTCGTGGTTACAAGATTGTCGGGCGAATGCGAATCATAATATGGTTATCATGCTCGTGGGGAATAAGTCGGACGTCTCGCATCGACGCGCGGTGTCGACGGAGGAGGGAGAGATGTTCGCGCGAGAGAATGGCTTGTTATTCGTCGAGACGAGCGCAAAGTCAGCTTTCGGCGTCGATGACGCCTTTGTCGCCACCGCGGGGGCAGTGTTGGCGAAGATTGACACCGGAGTCTTAGACGTCAAGAATGAGAGTAGCGGGGTGAAGCTCGGGTACGACCCGGGTCGTAAGGGCACGTCAGACGTCGCGCGACTGGACGTTCGCCGAGCCGAGCCCGGCGCGTCGTCGTGCTGCTGACGTTAACCTCGAACTTGACGACGATGATGACGACACTCGAGACGACGTGCCCCCGCGCGATCACGCTTTAGCCGCGAAGCGCCTCACGCATGTGACGCATGTACACTACCGCGCGTAAACCGCGCGCCGCCATGCCATTGGTTCGGAACGCCGAACCGAAAGCGCAAAACCCATCCCGCCGCCGCGCGCGTCGCGCCCGAAACGACCCCTCATCCTCGTCCATTATCCGGCGCTCCCATTCCAGCCGCCATCTCCGCATCGCGCGCGTCATGCGGCTTCCCCTGCGTCCGCAACGCCTTGCACGCCCGCTTATACGCCTTCGTCTTCATGTGACTCTCCAACCCCGCTCTCGTGCTGAACCGTCGTCCGGTGGCCACGGCGACGTACGCGCCCGCGTCTTCATCGATCGCCGTCTTATTCGCCTCGTCGATCAGCGCCAAGGACGTCGCACCGCGTCGTCCCGGCTCCCCCCTCGCCGCCGCCGCCGCCGCGTGAAACGCCTCGTATCGCACATCCAAGTGCGTCGCGCTCGCCTCGCCCGTCCGACGGAGCGTCTTACACGCGTGCGTCTTCGTCGCCCGACCCGCGGTGCGCCGCTTCACCTTCGAGCCCTTCTTCTGCCCCATCGCGCGCGCGTCGCCGCGGCGCGGGCGTCGAATCGCGCGATGGCTCGAGCTCGATCGATCGACGAGCGTCACCGATCGATCGAAAGGCGTCACCGATCGATCGAAAGGGATCACCGATCGATCGACGAGCGTCACCGATCGATGGGCGACGTCGAGCGTCACCGATCGATCGACGAGCGTCACCGATCGATCGACATACGACACCGATCGATCGACGAGCGTCACCGATCGATCGACCGGTGCGTCGCGGGGGAACGACGACGACGATTCCGCGATGCGCGTCGACGCGACGCCGGAGACGACGACGACGACGACACGACGACGACGGCGACGGCGACGATGACGCACAGGTACGCGGACGCGGACGCGACGTCGCCGAGCGACGGACGCGTCGCCGCGACGACGGCGTCGCCGAGCGACGGGATGAATCGTCACTCCGGGGACGAACCGTCGCGACGCCGCGCGCGGGCGAAGACCCGTCCGGGGTCCGCGGCGACGCGCGTCGCGCTCGGGGAGCTCGCGAACGGGACCGAGGTCGAGGTGAGCGGCGCCCTGGGTGGGACCGCGGCGTGGGGGGTGAACGGATGGGACGCGCTGCGGTCGCCGGGCGACGCGGAGGACGCGCGGGCGTCGAGCGACGATCTCGAGGTCGGTGCGTCGACGAATGCGCGCGTGCGGGAGCTTGGACGGGTGGTGGAGGCGCTGCGCGCGCGGGTGGAGGCGATGGAGACGCGGCGGACGCGCGCGGGGGACGCGGCGGACGCGGCGGCGGCGGCGCTCACGCGCGGGTTCGCGCGCGCCAAGTACGCGTTTACGCTGCTCGCGCGAGGGTCGTTGTTCACATCGTCGGTAGCGCGATGTGCCTCGACGCGCGAGGCGAACGTCGACGTCGGTGTGATCACGGATGACGCGACGGACGACGCGGGCTTTCTCGCGGACGACGTCGGGGCGGCGTCGAACGGCGACGACGACGTCACTGACGCCGTCACTGACGCCGACGTAGGCGCGAGCGCGCTCTAGACGCATTTTGTAAACATTATCACGGACGCATTGCTCTGACCGACGTCGTGGCGACCGCACGAGAGAGACTAGGTGTTTTCACGAGCGCGCGCGCGCGAGGTCCGAGACGCGTCTTTCTTGTACAGGCATGTATCATTGAATTAAACAGAGCGTCGTCTAAGACGCGCGCTGAGAGAAACGCAAGTGCTTGGAATCTCATGTGGAGGAGAACTAGCAGCAAGAGCTCTTCGCGTTGACGCTGCGACCTTCGCCCGGGCGCACCGTGTTGCCTCGCGGTCCGGCGTTCATCTGTGGTTGGCTCGCCATGCGATTCTTAATCTCGTTCGCCATGGTCATGAAAGCCTGCTCAACGTTGGTCGCGTTCTTCGCCGACGTCTCTATGAACGGAATTCCAATCTCATCCGCGAAAGCCTTCGCCGTGGCGTAATCGACCACCTTTTGACTCGTCAAGTCGCTCTTATTCCCCACCAGCAGCTTGTTCACGTTTTCGTTCGCGTAACGGTCGATCTCGTTCAACCAACCCTTCACCGCCTCAAAACTCTCCATATCGGTCACGTCGTAGACGACGATAATCCCGTGCGCGCCTCGGTAGTAGCTCGACGTGATGGTTCGGAAGCGCTCCTGTCCCGCGGTGTCCCAAATCTGAAGCTTGATCGTCTTCCCCTCCAGCTCCACAGTGCGAATCTTGAAATCCACCCCGATCGTGGAGATGTACGTCCCCGTATACGTATCATCGGCGAATCGTAGCAACAGGCACGATTTCCCAACCCCCGAGTCGCCGATGAGCTGCGCGATCGCGCGACGCGCGCCTCGGTCAGTCCCCCACCTCCGCCCCCGTCGTCCCTCACGCGCCCGCGCGTCGTCCACGACCACGCGCGGGGTTTTCACCGCCTCCACCGCGCGCGCGAGCGCCTCCCCACCCCCACGCGCGCGCACGCACGCGACAACAAACGATCAATCGCGAGATCTCGAAACATCGCCGCGGCACCGCGCGTCGTCCTCGCCCCACCCCGCGCGCGCGCGTCGACGACGGACGCGCGACGCACCAGGAGCTTGAACAAGTAATCGTACTCGGGATTCATCCCGCCGAGGCGTCGTCGTCGCGGTGTCGCGCCCCGAGCGCGCGCGCGCGAGCCGTTGGCGCGTGTGCGTCGTCGTCGTGCGTCTACACAGTACATCATCGTCGTGTGTACGATGCATGTGTCCGAGTAAATATATATATCGTCGGAGATAAAAAGAGTATTCGGACGATCGGTGCGTACTGTCGGGACGTGTCATGGTTTCACGCGAGCCGTGAACGCCCGGGCGTCGCGCCGCCGGCGGTCGATCGCGCGTCGCGCGTCCGCACTCGCGCTCGCGTCCCGAGCGCGCATCGCTCCGCGACGGCGGTCGCGAACGGTCGACGCGCGGTCGTCCTCGCGCGACGTGCGCTCGGACGCGCGCGTGGACGACGAAGCGCGCGTGGACGCGGACGACCGCGGACGATGGCGCCGCCCGAAGCCATGGACGCGGACGCGGACGTGCGGAGCGCGTCGGCGGTGCTGGCGAAGCCGAAAGACATTGGTGACGCGGATTTTGCAAATTATTTCTGCACGTACGGGTACCTGTACCATCAGAAGGATATGCTGGAGGATCAGAATCGAATGACGGCGTACAGCGACGCGGTGCGGTTGAATCCAGAGTCGTTTCGGGATAAAGTCGTGCTCGATGTGGGGACGGGGAGCGGAGTGCTGGCGATGTGGGCGGCGCAGGCTGGGGCGAAGAAGGTGTACGCGGTGGAGGCGACGCACATGGCGGTGCAGGCGAGGAAAATCGTCGCGGCGAACGGGCTGAGCGACGTCGTGGAGGTGATTCAGGGCTCGATGGAGGAGGTTGTCCTGCCGGAGAAGGTGGACGTCATCATCAGCGAGTGGATGGGGTATTTTTTACTCCGTGAGTCGATGTTTGACTCGGTGATGAAGGCGAGGGATAAGTGGATGAAGCCGGGAGGCGCGATGTTCCCGTCGCGGGCGAAGATGTACCTGGCGGCTATAAAGTCAAACAAGAGCGGGATGAAGTATCAAGAGTTACAGGAGTCCATGAACGTGTGGGATCAGTTCGTCGCGGACACGAACGAGAACTACGGCATCGACCTCTCGTGCATGACGGGGGAGTTCGAAGAGGAGCAGCGAGAGCACTATCTGAACACCGCGGCGTGGAGCGACGTGCACCCGTCGCAGCTCATGTCCAGGCCGATCACCGTCGCTGAGTTCGACCTGAACAAGGCGACGATGGATGACATCGAACAACTTCGCAACGTTGATTTCAAGATGAAGCTCTTCCCACAGCGCACCGGTGCTCCAGGGGAGTCTCGCGTCGGCGCGTTTTGCGGCTGGTTCGACGTCACGTTCGCTGGCTCCCCTGAGAACCCGTGCGAGAATCCGGTCGTTCTCACCACGGAGCCCGATGCGAACGGCGCCACGCACTGGGGACAACAGTCGTTCCACATGTGGCCCGAGGTTCACGCCTCGGACGGCGAGATCATCTCCGGTACGCTCGACATGGTGCGTCGCCAAGAAAACCAACGCCTGTACAACGTTCGCATGAACTGGCACCAGGAGGACAAGGACGGCGTCGTCAACGAGCAACTAGGCCGACGCGATGTCGTGTGGCAGATCGAGTAACCGTCCTGGTTCGCGCGCTCGTTGCTCTAGAAGTTTTTACACCGAGTCGTCGCACATTTTTCAACGTCGCAGCCGCCGACTCCCCACTTGTCGACGCCCATGACCGACCCGCTCGCCGCCGCGCGCGCCGCCTTCGACGACGACGACTACGATGAGTCCCTGCAAATTCTTGACGACGCCCTGAAAGCCGTCGACGCGCGCTCGGAGATCGCGCTCGTCGTCAAACTGCTCGGTCAGCGCTCGAGAACATTCATCGCGTGCGGTTTGTACGACGAAGCGCTCGAGGACGCGCGCAGGGCGCTGTCGTTGGACGACGAAGACGTCGAGGCGCTGTTACGACTCGGGATCGCGTGTAAAAAGCTAGGACGACACGCAGAGGCGATTGAGGCGCTGGAGCGGGCGACGGCGCGCGCGCACTCGGGAACGGCGATGCGGGCGGAGTGCGCAGAGTGGTTGAAACGGGCGAGATTAGCGCGGGAGAACGCGGGAACGGACGATGGTGGGCGAATGTTGGATGCGTCACCATCGACGACGGCGACGGAGCGGTACAGGCGGACGTGGTATCAGTCTGAGACGCACGTGACTCTGGAGGTGTTTGCGAAAGGCGTCTCACCGGACGCGGTGACGGTGGATTTGAACGACGCGGGAGATGCGCTTAAGCTTACCATCGACGCGCTGAGCGACGAAGACGGTTGCGCGAGGACATACGATCCGTACGTGCTCGAGATCGATCTCTTCGCGTGCGTTTGCGCCGATGGAGGTGCGGTCAACGTGTCGCCCACAAAGATTGAGATTCGCATGCGCAAGCGCTCGCCGGGACAGTGGCGCGATATCGAGCGTCGTCCGAGCGGGGGGCTGTCGCAATCGATCACCGCGCATCACGTCTCGATCGCACATAACCCAACGGTTTTAAGCTCGGATAAGCGAACGGCGAAGGATTGGGACGCCCTAGAGCGCGCGCTGGACGAAGAGTTGAAGGACGAGCCTGACGGCGACGCCGCACTGAACGACCTATTCCAAAAAATCTACGCCAATGCCGACGATGATGCGCGACGCGCGATGAACAAATCTTTTACTGAGAGTAACGGCACCGTGCTCAGCACCGATTGGACCGACGTTGGTGCGCGAGACGTTGTGCCTGATCCTTAGATGTGTAACCGATAGGAAGATGATGAGTGTGAACACGACTCTGCACACGAGCGCGCGCGTGGCCGAGATGGATGCCAACCGCTGTCCCTCGAGCGTCGATGTTAAAGACTCATGAGGGATCTTTGAACTGTTGCGCGCAACGAACGCAAGCGGGCCCCAGTCATGAACTCTTAGTAAAAGGCTAGGTAAGATCGATAGACAAGTTGTAGGCTAAGGAAACGACGAGCTCTGCCCGTCGAATCAGAAACAAATTGTGTCCAGCATCACCCCGAGCGTCTGCACGATGTTGTCCGACATTAACTTCTCAACCTTAGCGCTGAGATGCTTCTTCGGATCCTGCTGACCGACGTTCTTCACGATGAGCTCCTGCGCCGTGAGCTTGTCCTCCTCAACGACCGCCTTCTCGTACTTGGTGGCCAACTCCTTGAGCTCGAGCACGACCTTTTCGTTCTCTGTCTCCGTGTCGTCGAACTTGTTCACCTTCAGACCTGCGCTCCAGTTGGACTTGTTTAGGTTGAGCAGCATCTTCTCCTCGAGCACCGACTTGGCGTACGAAATCCCGATGCTGTAGTAGTGTCTGTTCAAGCCATGAATGAGCGCGCTGATCGACGGCTTGTTCAGATGCCCGAGGTTCGACGTCGTCTGTCTCGGCTCCTGCCCAAGCATTATCGTCTGCGGATTGATTAATCGGAACGCGTCGATCACGACCTTGCCCCTGACGCTCTGCACCGGATCGATGACCACCGCCACCAGCCTCGGGTTCAGCTGCTCGAATGACTGCTGCGTGTTGATGTCCACCCCAGAGAGCCAGCACCCGAACCCGGGGTGCGAGTGATACCACCCAACCACCATCTCTTCGCGCCCTGTCTGCTTGAGCATGTCCAACATCTTCGTCTGGAACACCGGATCGACCGCCTCGACGCTGACGCCCGTGCCGCTCTGCGGCATCGCGAACACGTCGACCACCTTCACCGTGTAATCGTCGACGAACTGCCCGAGCATCAGTCCCATAACCTCCATGGGTACACCGGCGCGGCCTGTATTCGTATCGGAACCCGTCAGTCGCGTCGTACGCGCGCGAGAAGACGCGAGATCTCAATTCTTTTCGCGATCGTAGATTTCAGTCAAACGCAAGTTTCTGCGTCGACGCACCGTGCTTCAGCATCTTGAGCAGCGCTAAGGATGAGATGTACACCTGTTCCGCGGTGTCCACCTGCGCGGCGTCGCCCGCGGCGGGGGCGGCACCGGGCATGCCGGCGGACATAAGACGGTTCATGGCTGCGCGCGTCGGTCTGTGAAGCGCGTGCGCGGTCGGGTGGGAGTGGTACTTTGGATTGAATTTCATTTCTTCGCCGATTTCACGGCGCTGGGGTTGTACTCGAACGTGTCGGGATGGATGTCGAACGAATCGAATCGCCATCCGAGCTTACGCGCGGACGGAAGCGCCAGGCGCGAAATTATATCCGTCGGCGTGACGACTCGAAGCGGCGAGCTCTCCAAATCGACGACAAAGACGTGATGTATGGCGTTCTCGGCGAGTGCGGTGAGGAGATCGATGAAGTCAGCGTCTTCGTGGACCACCGCGAGTGGGATGCGGTCTAATTTGCGACTGGCGAGGAAGTCCTCGACAGTGGCGACGAAGTCGCTAGCGCTGAACACGGCGTCTGTGAGATCGGTGAGAGAGAGGACGTCGACGAGCTTGCCTCGCGGTTCGTCGACGACACCCAAGCATGATCGTCCCGTCACGTGCATCAACCCGAAAGCCTCAAGTAATCGAGTTTGCGGAAAACAGCAGAGAACGTCGGAGTCCGGAAACACTCGATGCGATTTACGACTACCAAGGCCAAGCGAGGATAAGTTTCTTCGTGTAAGCTTTTCGTCAAACGTTGAGCTCTTCTCGTACAGGAATTGAACGATGTCCGATTGGCTGATCAGCGCGTGAATGACCATCTTTTCTTTGCATTCATCTTTTTCGTCGATCTTCAAATCGTACACGCACACGCGATGACAAGGATGCGCTTGTCTTGGCGAAATTTCGCTTCCCGGCGACACGATGTGCCTCAGGAAACCGGATCGAACAAGTTCGAGCAAGTCCGCGTCCGTCGCCGTCACGCGGCTCACCATTCGACCGTCCTCCTCTGACTGTGTCATTCGTCGCGCGTCGTGAAGTGTCATGGCTAACGCCTCCGCGATTGCGCGCTCGATGTCCTCCTTTGTGATCGATTCCAACCACTCTCGGCGAGCGTTGTCGAGCTCGACTTCTCGACGCTCCACGGCGTCGCCACTCAGACGCTCGAACGACGTCACTGTGCGCACGGCTTTGCGCAAAACGCCCCACGCGGAGTGTACGTGCGGCGTTCCCGCCAATTTCGCGGTCTGACGGACGACGTGCGCTGGCGGTGGTCGCGTCGCCACGATTCGATTCCAAACTATGGATGACGCGTCGACCGTCGAGAACCATCCAACGAACTTGAGCGTGTCCACCGTGAGCACGGGCGCCGATGAAACGTTGAAACATCTCAAAAACTCGCAACACTCGGATATGGAGAGGTTTTCGGCCAGCATAAGCGGCGGAACACGATCATCCGTGCAGCGCGAGACGTAGTCCAACACGCTCTGCGACTCAAGCGCTCTGCGCGCGCACGCGAAGGATTCAAAGACGTCCCTACGGAACAGCTCATCCGCGGCCGCCATGGAATCATCTCGACACGCTATACGTGGACGACCGAGCTCGTCCTCCAGAAGTTTGGGCTGTCGCTTCAGTTCGCTCTCCATGTCGAGGAGTGGCGTTCGGCGACGCTGGTTCGCGAGACGAGAATCTCTCGCGGTGCGCTGCGATGATGATATGCAATAACAAGCGGCTACGGCGACCTAGAACCCACCAACCTGGGCACACAACCCACTCGCGAGTCTCGCCTCCTCGACCGCCTTGTCACGCTCCACCTTCATCAGCTCGTACAGCTTGGTCCTCAACTCGAGCTCCTGTTGCAATACCTGCACCGTCTGATCGCTCTTCAGCAGCTCGTTCTCCGCCCCCTCGAGCTCGAGCTGCTTGATCTCCAGCTCCTCCTGTATCTCCCTTAACCGTCGCATCTTCCCTTTTCGGTCGTTCTTCGGCGTCTCCTTCATCTCTTGCTTCACCTTTGCCTCCTCTCTCTGCAACTCGCTCTCGCGCTCCGCCGCCTCGCGTTCCACCGCGCGCTCCGTCTCGTCCATCGCTCGCAACTCCGCGAACGCCGCGCTCTCTTCCGAACGTAACTCACTCACCTCTCGCTCGCTCGACGGCGTCAGCGCTTCCTCCGCGCGCACAGAGAGCGCGGTGACGTCACACAGAGCGAGCACAACCAGTGCGGTCGAGAGCATCGTCACCATCGACGCGCGAGTGCTTTCGACGATCGTCCGCGCGTGCCGTGACGTCTCCGAGCGCCCGTCGCGGGAGCACCCCGGCGCGTGACGCGCGGAGAAATACGCTTCATTCGACCGCGCGCTCGCGCGGGTGAAAACGCCCGCGCGTCGGGCGTCAGCGCGGCGTTTCCCGTTCGTTACCCGGTCGACTCGAGCGCGACGCGCATCACGTCGACGCACGTGGGGACGCGCCGACGCCGTCGCGCGCCCTCCCGTCTCGACGCGCACCGCGCGAAACATGCGTCGATGCGATCGCGCGCTCGCTCGATCGAGCGGACGCTCGCGCGGGCGTGTGCGGGCGCGACCGCGTCGTTCGGTCGACCCGCGCGAGCGTCAAACCCGGGCGCGCGACCGCGCACGGCGTCGCGCGCGCGCCGCGTCGCGCGCGCGAGCGAACCGCGAGGATGCGACGACGCGGGAGTGATGTGTCGATGGCGTACGGCGCGCCCGGTCCCGCGCCCGCGTTCGGCGAGGCGGCGCATCGCGTGAACACGGGTGATAGGTTGATGCCGTTCAGCGACGCGCGTGAGCGAAAGAGTCGCTCGCGCGCAGCCGTGCGCGCGATCGAGCGCAGGACGAACCCGTGGTACGTCGTCTGCGCGTTGGTCGTCGTCGTGATGTGGCTGGCGAGGTATTCGAGGCGAGAGGTGGTGAGCAAGCGGCACGTGCGAAGACACCGGGACGGCTTGGACGGGGATCTGCGGGAGGCGCTGGCGCGAATCGGACGGTCGGAGAACGATCTGTTCGAGGCGAGGAAGAGTCGAGAACGATATGTTCGAGAGAATGATTCGTTGCGGGCGGAGTTGGAGGCGGTGCGACACGAAGCGGAGACGTGGAAGTTGGAGGCGGAGAAGGCGAAGAAGACGTCGGACTCCGAACGCGGATGCGAGAAACAGCTGAAAGAGGCCAAGCTGGAGGCGGAACACGCGAGGCACGAGAAGAAGGGATGCGAGCTCGAACTCGAGCGGGCGAAGCACGAGGCGCAATTCACCAGGGAGCACATCAAGGAGGAGGTGATCAAGGAGGAGACGGAGGCTCTGGAGAAGCGCATCGTCGAGGACGAAAAAGCCGAAGCCTCGCAGTTGGACGCGGAATCGCCGATAAAGTCAAAAACTGACGAGCCTAAGGAAGTCAATACATCTTCTGCCGGTACTGGAGCCTCTGCGAGGCGGCTTTAGCTATATCTAGGATGATGTCAGAAAATTGGAAAATCAGGTCAAGTCTACTGCATCGTCTTCGTCGAGGCGCCTCGATTTTCCGCGAAGTGTCAGTAATAGCCCGAAATGATCGCTCGGCAATACTGGGAGTTCGATGATCTCAGATTTCCCGCGATTACTCACAGTCTTGTGGTAAGTCACACCGGGAATCGGTTGCGTGCCCACCATCTCGATGTTTTTCACGTCAAAGTGCTTGAGCTTAACGAACGCTCGATCCAGCCGCTTCTGTAGGTAGCCGCGTAGCATGTCGTTTTTGCGCGCGTCGTACGTGAAACCAGGTTCATCCGGGCGAAGCTCGAGCCACGCGTCTCGCCATCCCTCCGGCAGAGGTACGTCTCCATCCTTATCGTCCCAATTCGTGTCGCCCATGAAAATCGCGTTCGCGTGCTTGTTCAGCCGCGAGAAACACTCTTCTATCTGCACTCGTCGCTCCTGAGCGCTGGTACGATTGGAACTGATGTAGGACTCGAGATGCGAGCTCCCGACCGCGAAGTTCGTCCCACTGAGTGGACACCGTACGTAACTCACGATGTCCAGGCACCGCCCCATCTTCGAGTTCGCAAAAGGATGTTGGTCTCGCCGCACTAGCTCGCTCCCGATCTCCCTCTTGAACAGCACGACGCTGAAGTACTCCTGTAATTGCGGTTTCGGACCAACGACGTACTCGCTCCACCACTCGTGCGCGCGAAGTGCGAACAGAGACTGCGGCGTCACCTCCTGCAGACACAACACGTGTGGGTCGCACTCCGCGATGACCTTTCCAAGCGCCTCCAATCTCGCCGCTTGAGCGACATCTCCGAACCACACGTTGTATGTCAACAAACGTAAATCACCCGCATCGTGCTCGCGCGTCTCCGCCTCATCGCTCGTCTTTGCGCTCGTCGAATTCGTCCGCCGCTGCCTCGCGACATCCGTCGCTCGTCGCGTCTCAGCCCGCCCGCCTCCACCCAACACCGTCGTCGCGATCGCCCGCGCGCGCTCGTTCGCGCGGTTCCGCTCCGCCTCTTGGACGCTCACGCCCGCATCTATACCCCTGCGCGCGCATCGCTCGGCGTGTAAAGCGGCGAGCCAACCGTTCGAGGAGCTGTCAGCTGGAGCTTTTGAACTCGATGGTTCCTTGACATCCGTGCGCGCGCGTTTGGCGTTCGGCGACGACATTCGCGCACGTAGCGCGCGGTTGGACCGTCCGCGGACGACGCCGCGGGCGAAAACGCGCGGAAACGCGAGCGTGGTGATCGCGACGTGCGTCAAACAGTGAACAGTTACAATTCGCGGACGTTGTACAAGCGGGAGCGTCATCAATCGGAGTCCGATTCTTCGCCGTCGGTCCCTAGGAGCGGTGCCGTGGTCGTGATCGCGCGCGATGGCGAGGCTGGGCCGTCGGATCGGCCCTCGAAGGCGGCGAGGCACGCCTCGTCGCTCGCGCGCCAATACGCGGGTACGCACCAGCACCACAAGAGCTCGCAAAACGCGCCCTCGCGGTCCCAACACGGCTCGGCGAACCCCTCGACCCAACCACGATTGTACGCCCATAGGTACGCGCACCCGACGACCGCGTAGACGACGGTGCAGCAGAGTAGGATCACGAGACCGGCGCGCAGCGCGCGGCGTCCCGAGCCTCCCGGAGCGAACGCGCTCGGCGGCGGCGGCGGACTCGGCGGCGACGGCGGACTCGGCGGCGACATCGGCGGCGGCGGCGGCGGCGGCGAACTCGGCGGACTCGGCGTGGCGTCCACCTTGACCTCCGCCATGAACTCAATCTCCGCGCGCGCCGTCGCGTCGCACGGCAGAATTTTATTCCGACACCGCATCGTCGTCGTGAACACCGTCCACGTCCCATCCTTCGGCGCCCCTCTCAGTTCGCACCGTTCGCTCGTTTCCTTCACATCGCACCAATCGCTGTCGAACCGCGACGTCCGCGCCGCGTTCTGCGCCGTGAGGCGCGTCCCGTACGCGTCGCACCCCACCGCGCTGCAGCTCGCGTCTCCCCCGAACGTCGTCGGTCCCAGCGCGTTCTTCTCCGTCGACGCCTCGAACGTCACCGTCTCACCCGTGGGCGTCGTCGCCGTGCCCGCGGTGCCGTCGAAGGTCTCGGCGCACGACGCGCCCGGTCCGCAGACGATTCGACAGCTCCACGACGCGCTGCATCGCGTGAGCTTTCCCTCCGTCGGCGTCGATCGCGCGCACGCGAACGCGGGGGCGTCGCACGACGCCTCGCCCACGCGCGCGCCGAGAACGAGGGCGAGGGCGAGGGCGAGGGCGAGCACGAGGGCGCGTCGGCGCGGCATTGGGCGACGCGAAGGACAATGCGGCATCGCGTCTGTGATCCGCGCGTCGGCGTCGCGTCGACGACGAGACGGGACGCGGGACGACGGCGAGGGCGCGAGCGGGCGGTGACGCGCGCGCGCGCGGGGAAGGGGGGCGATGGGTTCACCTGGGGCCCGTCGAGGGCGGTGTGGAGGAAGTTTGAGGACGCGTGCGGGGACGTCCCGGCGCGGTGGTACTTCCGTCCGCTGCAGGGAGCGATCGCGCTGACGTTGGCGGGTGTCGTCGACGCCGGATTCAGTGGTGATTGGAGCCGGATCGGGGTGCTGACGACGACGCAGGAGGGTGAGATTCGGACGTTTTGCGCCTTTGTCGCGGCGGCGCACGGAACGCTCGCCGTCGCGGCGTACGACGTGGCGAAGAAGCGCGGACGGGATCCCGCGCTGGCGTTTTTGAAGGTATTCGTCGTCGGGTCCCTGGCGTTCGTGGGCGAGGCGTTCGAGGACGTCGACGGGGGCGCCGAGGACCGGGAGGCGTAGCGCGCGCGGCGCGCGCGGAGAACCGGGACGCGCGTGGCGTCGACTGTACGACGCGAACGACGCACGCGGGTGACCGGTCGATAGAGAGCATGTAATTCGTAACACATTCGCGCGCAGTACCACGCGTTCGTCTCGTCGGTCATGCCTTTCGCGCTCGCTCGCGTTTCTTCGTCCCGCTCGCGTCCTCAGACCTCGCCGCGTCTCCCGCTCGGCGCGCGCGCTCGCAGCTCGCATGACGGGGGCGGACGCTCAGGATCCGAGCACGTCTGGGAACGCGTCCAAGAACGACGCCCCAGCCGTGGTCACCACGGAACTTATTCAAAAGTACTTGGATGAGAACCAACAACTGATCCTAGCCATTCTTGAGAATCAAAACGTCGGTAAGCTCGCGGAGTGCGCGCGGTATCAGACCAAGCTGCAGGAAAATCTCATGTACCTCGCGGCAATCGCGGATGCGCAGCCGGCGAAGGGTGGAAAGGAATAGACGATCGAGTAGGTTGATGATTGTAACGAGACGTCGAGGAGTTTAGCTTTGAGTTTGCCAGATAGGATTACAAGGACGCGGCGGTTTCCGCTGCCGCGGACGCGCTCGACGCGGCCACAGTCAAGCCTCGAGCGTTGACCATCTGTCCGAGCGCCTCGTAGAGCTGCACGATGTGCTCGTCGCATACGAGCTCGATCTTCGTCAGGAGCATGCCCAGCGTGAGCGAACCGCCCACGTGCTTGACGAAGTTGGACAGGTAGAGTGAGGAGAAGCACGAGTTGATGACTTGGCAGTCTAATCGATCGGTGACACCGCCGTGTCCCGGAATAGTCTCCGCAAAGTCCTTGATCTTGAACGCGCGCTTGAACCCAGAGGCGAAGAACCCCCCAAAGGGCGCCACCGTGCTCGCGAACATGGCGAGCGCGAACGAGTGCACCATAAACATCGAGCATCGCACGTGACTCAATCCCGTGAGTCGCGTGATGAAAGGACCGGCGATAGTACCTAAGAACATCGTGATCGGCTTATCGGAGACGATAAACGGTTCGCCCGGAACGCACCATGAGCGACGCGAGAAGATGCCTCGGAAGTACATGTCACCGCTCGGTGGACACGTAAAGTACACCGACCTCTGCAAGTACGCCGCCATAAAAGGCGCGGCGAAAATCGTGCAGATGAACGCCCCGATAAATCCTTCCCACGTCTTTTTCGGAGAAATTTTGATCAGAGGCGTTCGACCGAAGAGCTTCCCGCAAATGTACGCCATGATGTCGTTAGTGGTGACGAGGAAGAGCGGAAACACGAACCAAATCATCCCCTCCAAGACGTTCGAGACGTTGAAGTATCCGGTCATCGTCGTCGCTGCGAGGATCATATGCGTCCAAGCGAACTGCGCGAACTGATACTCGTATATCCCCTTGCGCAGCGTCAACACAAAGTACACTAAACCTCCAAGGTACGCCATAAAGCTCAGAAACGTGTGATGCATCGCCGCCCACGCCCACGGGCTCACCTCCGGTCCTTCGCTCAGCAGATCCCTCCAATCCTTGGCGCTCATGAAGCCGAGGAATAGATATTTCGCGAACCTACCGTAGACGTAAAACGCAAACGTCCAAAACCAGTACCACCGGAGCGCGTTCGTCGTCCTGCGCAACTTGGCCGCGTCCTCGCCGCTCGCGTTTTCCTCCGCGTACGCGCTACTGACGAACACAAACAACTCCTTCGTCATCGCGTACTGACACGCAAAGCACAGCGCAATCGCGTACGCGTGTCCCGCCACCGTCGGTCCCGCCGCGCCGATGATCATCACCACCGTCGACTGCGTGCGCAACCGCATGCTCCGCCACCGCTCCTTCCCCCGCTCGATCGCCCGCCGCGCGTTATCGAACGACACGCTTCGTCGCGGCGCGCGCGGAGACGCATCCACGTCACCATCATCGTCCTCCCGTCGTCCCTGCGCGCGATCGTCGTCCGTCGCGTCAGTCATCGTCGACGGTTTCATAGACCGTTTCCTCGAGCCCAGCGCGCGCGCGATCGCCTCTCCCGTCGCCGCTCCGCGCGCGCGTCGCCGAACGCGCGCGCGGGGGCGTCGAGACGCACCTCTCGCC